TCCTTTGCTTGAAGGTAAAAAAAGAGTCTATCCTAAATTGAGGTAAATTATATGGTCTTCCAAATACCGTTTCGATCCCTAACATCACTGAAGAGACATTAATTGTCGAAATCCAGATATGGTGTATACAAATTTTTGCACCTCATGTTTGTGCTATTCCGTCTTTTTCGCAAGTTTTTGGTTTTCTGTTTGATTAAATCTGGTGATCAATTTATATGGCAGTCAGCAGGGTTTAAGAACATCAGTTGTTCGACCTGTTAGTCAAATGCGTTTTGTTAAAATATACTTTTCACCTTTTGGTCTTTTGGAAAATGTTGTTTGTGCTGTATTTTGACCCCTCTACCAAGAAATTTGTTTTACATGCACACGTATAAAAATTGCGGTTTTTATCCAACGCAATCATAGGTTTGAACGTTGTTTTCAATTTAGACTTGTATATATATATATATATAAATATTTCTCTAATTCTTCGTCAATTTATCACTTTCTGCACCCATTGTATAAAAAAAATTTAATCAACGTGTGGTTCGTTTGATCTCAGTTCTTCATTGGTTAAAATCCGATTATGACGTAGAATTTTCTTGCTTTCCTCTGAATTTCCTATGTGACGGCATGAAAAAAGGCCACCATGCCTGATGACGTCACATAGAAAGAACACATCTTTTTGCAAATCAGTCGCAAAGAAGGAATAAGTTTGCCTGCGTATTGTTTGAAAATCACTAGAGAAACAGATTCCACCACTAAATCTCGTGTAATACGATATTTATCCACTCTCGACAGTTAAATTTTAAATATTTAAAACGCTCGGCGAGCCTCGCGTTTTAAATTTGAAAATTTAACTGTCTCGAGTGGATAAATATCGTATCACACTCGATGCAGTGGTAGAATCTATATACATATAGTTTGAATGTATTTAAAAATGAAAATAAGCAAAAAATTACAAAAATATTAGACTGAATATTTCCCATTTTGAATTATTCTTAAGAACAAATTGAGTTTCAAATTGCACACATAAGCGATTTACTTCCAATATTCGTGTAATAGGTATACACCGAGGGATAGGTGTGTCTGGATAAGAAACCCGGACGGCCGAAGGCCGAAGAACGGATAGCATATCAAACCATGATTTATAAATATTTTTATAACATGAAACCCCACTAGTAACCTTACTTTGGCTATCTTCGTTCAAACTTTGACAAGTGAGTAGATTTTACAAATGTCAAAGTTGCTGTTTTGCATATTCCCGTTAAATCTTTGTGCTAATATGGATTAGCATGTCAATGTTGACCGTATCGTGGATTCTTATGACAAAAAAAAATACATCTATATATTATTTACCTTTTTTAGTTTTTTTTATTTCTAAATATTGGCTTTTTGATAGTTGTAACAGAGCTGGAAGGTATCATTTATCAGTTTATGATTTCTAAATATTAGAAATATAACCCCGTTGAATTTGACAATATACACTAAAACTTTTACGAAAGTTTTTTTTTTAAAGTAGTACACTAAATCAAGTACTACCAAGATAGCACTCTCTGGTATCTATACTGTACATAACTGCAAAACATGAACACTTACAATTTATTACACACAAAAATGTCAAAACAATACATTAATCTTATAGATCCTAATTATACATACACGGTAATACTATATATATATTTTTCTTCTAGAACGTAAGTTTAAGAATCTTTTATAATATAAGTGAAGGTGCTATCTTTAGTCAAATTCAATATACAGAGAATCACAATTTACCAAGGACGTACGAGCCGCGGTATAATTGTATTAATTTATATACCATGTACGGGAATATGTCAGACCCCTTCTAGGATTTGCATATTTGGAAAAGTCAGATATGTCTATCCAAGAGTATTTGATACTTACAGTTCTCATGTATAAACAACAAACACACCTACTTACCAAATCATTTAATATTTATAAACAAAGCAGGCTAAGTTACAAATAACAGAAAAATAAGTCCACAAAATTTTTTCTTCTCACTATAAATTAACCACAAGATAATTAAGATAATTAAAATACACACCATAGTTCAGATTTAAATATCAAGATTAAATTTAGGGAAAAAAAAAAAAAAAAAAAAAAAAAAAAAACTCACAATTTACTATAATATGAATATATAATACAGGTTAATTCCTAAATAATAATAAATTTTAAAACATTTATTTGAAATGTTTTCATATAAGGTAATCTGGCGCAATACCCGCAAGGGTAGTCGCCATTAAACTCTATTTAGTAGTAGTAGTAGTCATGCTCCTTGTCTGCAGTTGTTAATATGGACGGGTATAAGACGGACGACATTTTGAGTCAAGCATTTGATTTGGTAGAAGAGACTAAAGATAAAGGCAATATTGTAACCCAAAGTACTTACCTGCGTCAGTTTAATGAAGGTAATCATAAATGTATTTTATATGTTACGGTTTTATATATAAAAGCCCCCCCCCCCCCCTCTTCTCTAGAATAAACTAACATTCATATTCGGACATACTGATGGATAGGTGTGTCTGGATTAGAAACCCGACGACCGGACACGCTCAACATACTAAAATACAGATTGAATATTTAGGAACTCCCTTTTTGGGGGCAATCCAGTGTGGGGATTGGTGGTGGGGGCTCCGGGAATCCCGGTTTTTTAAGATCAATGCTTTAGAATAGAGACATATGACTGGGCTGGGATAATTTTTTTTTACCTTCAAGCAAAGGAGTACTTAAAGGATTGTTTTTTTTTTTCCAAATAGATGTTTAAAATTTTGTCCCTATTGGAATAACATATTTTTTGAATATCTATTAAAAAAGATATTGGTTAAAAATAACTAAAAAGATAGAGAGAAAAAAATAGTATTTAAGGGCAATTAGTCAGTTGATGGTTTCAAGTATACATCATTTTATTAGATCTTGTATTCATGATCATTTTTGCTGTTTACAGTTTTGACTGCTATTAACAGGGAATTGTATATACTTTACAAATCCTTGTCTAATACTTTTCAAGATAAAAAGCAAAAACAGCAAAATAAGTGAAAAAAAATCTTGTCATTTAGGGGTTATAACTTTGGTAAAAAGGCATCTGATTACTATGGTAGAAATGGGGTAGATTTTTACATCATTATCTGTATATTAATAACTTGAAGAGATAAGACAATTGATTCATTTAACTGTCTCATTCTTCATTTAGCCATGTCGTTCATGTTGGTTGATCAGCAGGGGAAAAAACAGACACTTTATACTATATTTATCACACACATAAACAGTACTATATATGTTTCTGAATTCATTAAGGGTCATTTAGCCAAAGTTTGGTTCCAATTGTTCGAGTGGTTACAGAAGAGATGTTTCAAATATTTACATGGAGATGAAGAAAAAGACGGATGCTAAGTGACGGCGAAAGGTCCAGTTGTGCTTTAAATGAATTTTAATTATGATTAGCATAAAAAAAAAAAACTCCTGAAAGTGTTGATTGACAATTTCAATCATATTGTCTTAATTGTGGATCTTGTTTTGCTGATAACTATTGTGGTCTAAATTTTCAGACTTTTTGTTATAGTTTTCAAGATATTTGATTAAAACACTTAAACTTCTATAAAAATATCATTAAATGGCAATGACATCTATAACAAGTTGATCGATAACGTTCTAGACAAACAAACAAACTTGTATGCACTTATTTCTACATCTTATCTTGCTGGTCATATTATGCTGTTTAATGTTTATGTGATGTCTACTTTAAATTTCACTAAAACAATAACAAAAGAATGCACACGCTGAAATGTCTAGCCTGCTATACTAATTATAAAAATAAGATGTGGTATAATTGCCAGTGAGACAACTCTCCACCAGACACCAAACAACATAGATGTTAACAGCTATTGGTCACTGTACAACCTTCAACAATGAGCAAAGCCTGTACCTCATAGTCAGCTATAAAATGCCCTAAAATGACAAATGTAAAACAATTCAAACAAGAAAACTAACGGCCTAATTTATGTAAAACAAGAATGCGTCCATAGTACAACGATGCCCCACTTGCATTATCATTTTCTATGTTCAGTGGACCGTTAAATTGGGGTAAAAACTCTAATTTGACATTCAAATTAGAAAGATCATATCATATGGAACATGTGTACTAAGTTTCAAGTTGATTGGACTTCAACTTTATCAAAAACTACCTTGACCAAAAACTTTAACCTGAAAAACTTTAACCTGAAGCAGGACGGATGGACAAATGAACGGACGCACAGACCAAAAAACATAATGCCCATAAATTGGACATTATAAATGGGGCATAAAAACAATAAACGAAATATAAATATAATATACAGCAACAAACGACAACCTTGTTCAATGAACCATGCAAATGAAGTATGAAACCTGCAAGTCAGACATGCACACCTTACAATCATTTCATACATGCACACCAAATATAGTTGACCTATTGCTTATAGTATCTGATAAGTGAACAAAACCATGAAAACTGAACATTGACAAATGAACCATAAAAATCAGGTCAAGGTCAGCTGAAACCTGCCAGTTGGATATGTACACTTTACAATCAATCCATACACCAAATATAGTTGACTTGCTCCACACAGTATCTGAGATACTGACTTTAACACAAAAACTTTACCTTCATTACTGATCCATGAAATGAGGTCGAGGTCAGGTGAACCCTGTCCAAAGGAAATGAAGAATGAAGACCTTGCAAGAAACCCATTTACCAAATATATTTCATATGAAAAAAAATATATAGATTGTTTTCGAGTAGTCACTGAACCATGAAAATGAAGTCAAGGACAATGGACATATAACAGACAGAAACTTAATAACAGAAGGCATCTGCATACAAGGAATGAAGCATCCAGGTCTTCTACCTTAAGAAAATAAAGCCTTATACAATAGTTTAGGCCGTCGCCACTTCTGCTAGATAGTAATCCATATATATATCACATTCTACGACTTTTGTCACAGGCCACAAAAAACATGAACACTTTTTACCTGAAAATTTTATTACTTTCTGAAGCGTACAAAAGTTTTAAAATGTCTGATGTTAAAGTTTGAGGCTGGAACTGGAATATAACATCATACTGGGTGCAAAACAATAGATCAACCAGTTGCAGACTTTTTATTTTACACAAAGAGAATTTTAACAACAAGAGAAATAGGTTTAAAAACACTTGAGAATTGGATATCACTTGATATGAATGCTCTGTATTTTACTCAAATAGTAATAACAACCTCAAGGGCTCATTCACTTTTATATTGAAATTAATATCTAATTGTCACTTGTTATGAAACCTATAATTATATATTTAATATTCAAGAAGTTATGAGTCCACCTCAATTGATCATTCACAAGACATTTTCAATCAAGCTGCCTTACACACAAAAGGCTAAATACTGATTGTGCATTTCAAAAGGTTAATACAACTCAGCACAAATTATCTGTCACTTGATAATCTGAGTCACATTCTTCACAAAGTTATAATAGTTGTATTTTATATCAAACTCCATATCATACCAATAGTTTACTGCAAAAGAAAATGAGAAGAACCATGTATTCATAAATTCACAGTTTAATAAAAGAAGAAATACAGGATTTACTACATGATAATTTAATCATTTATTTTTTTTATGGTGCATTTTAAAAATTTATTTGCTACTATACTCTTTAAAAATGATGGCCAAAAAAAAAGCTGAGGATAAAAAAACTCTTGAGTCGAGATAAACTGACAATGATATGACAAAAACAATGACAAGGACAAGACAAACAAGGTCACAAAAACTAAATGTATATTTAGCTTTTTCACATTTTATTGCAATAAGTGAGATTTGCACAGTTTATTTTTTATGTTATTCTTTTTTCATTTGATAGGAAAAAGAAAAAGAAAAATACTGAATTTGTATTTAATATACTGGTAAGCCCCTTGTCACTGTAGCAGATGCATTAAAAACTCAGTATAAACTGTTGACACAGAGATTTATCTCCCCTTTTTGTAATTTTGATAGTATAATGCAAATATTGAATCAAAATGGCAATATCAAAACATGTAAACTATGCAAAACATTGAAAGTCAATGAACCATGACTTAAGATGCAGGACCAAATAACCTCCATGGAAATGAGAAATGCCAATGCTTATAAAACTGCATACCAAATACAATTGACTTATCATATGTGGTTACCTTAACACTAACCTTAACACAAACTTTAACTTGTAAACAATGTAAAAAATTCAAAGTCAATGAACACTGATAGGGGATGGGGCAAAATAATCTCCATGGAAAAGATAACTTGCAAATACTTATACTATCATCGACTTAACAGAAGTGGTTTCTCTTAAACTGATCTAATCACAAACTTTAACATGTAAACTGAGGGTGCAGATCCAAATAATCTCCTTGGAAATGAGATGTGCCCATGCTTATGTATCTGAATAACAAATATCATTGACCTACCACAAGTGGTTCCCCTTAAACTGACCTAATCACAAACTAATACATGTTAAGTTAGCAAAAGTTTCAAAGTCAATGGACCATGACTGAGGAGGCAGGGACAAATTATCTCAATGGAAATGAGATGTGTCAATGTTAATACAACAGTATACAAAATATCATTGACCTACCACTAGTGGTTCCCAATAAACTGACCTAATCACAAACTGATACATTGTTGATGCTGAAAACAAAGCCGAACTACTGTTGCCATCGGAAACAGCATACCTAAGTCTTGCATTTTGACTCTATCAAGGCGAAATATAAACAAGAGGCTGTCAGAGTGACAGCAAACCAGATTTTCCTGCAGAGGTCGAACCCTGAACAGTTGAGCAAGTATGGACACTACATTTAAGCTTAAAACAGCTCTGAATTTGGATTGTATTTGAATATTTGACACAGCATAGGTTTGTGACTCAAAATGAATGTGGTCAAAGAACTGAAATATTTGAAATTGGACATTTACCTATTATGGTCCAATATCCAAAATCTAAGTACATATTAGAATCAGCATATCAAAGAAACCCAAGAATTTAATTTTTGATGAAATCAGACAAAAGTTTAATTTAGGACCCTTTGGACCTCAATGTGGACCAATTTGATAAAGGAGCCTACAATCAAAAATCTCTCAATACATGGTTAGATTCATCATTTCAAAGAACCCCATAAATTCAATTTTCGTTGAATCAAACAAAGTTTAATTTTGGACCCTGATTTGGACCAACTTGAAAACTGGGCCCAAAAATCTAATATTTAAATACAGGTTTAAATTCAGCATTTGAAAGAACCCTATATATATTTAATTTATGTTGAAATGAAACACAGGTTAATTGTATCCATAATATTTTCTGTGCAAAGGGAAATAACTCAAACTGGATAATTTTTTTCTAAAATAAGATATGATGCAATTTTTCAAATTATAATCAATAATATAATAACAACAACCAGTGATGACTAAGTTCTCTAAAATTAGATATGATTTAACACTCAAACATTGTTAGAATCAGTATATCAAAGAACCAAAGAATTCAATTTTTGATAAAATTAAACAAAAGTTTAATTTAGGACCCTTTGGACCTCAATGTGGTATTATCTTATTAATAATGAAAAGAAATACAGGTTTAGATTAAGCATTTCAAAGAACTCTATATTTATTCAATTTATGTTGAAATCAAACACAGTTTAATTTTGGACCCCGATTTGGACCAACTTGAAAACTGGGCCCAAAATCAGAAATCTAAATATATGTTTATTAATAAACAAAATTAAGCTTAGTTTTTAAAGGAGTTCACTTCATAAAAAAAAATGTATAGCATTCAGAAAATTAGTTTTTACAGAATAACAAACAAACTTGCCACAAAATTCTTCAAACAATTTACCAAAGAAAAGAAGAAAAAAATCCAAAATCTCATTTATCATTAATACAATGTCTTTTCAAAATCTATAAAACTTATCAGTAACAAGAAATAATTGTAACAGGATGCTGTTACGAGGTCTCCCAAACAAAGCTCCAATAATTCGTCATTCCCATGGTCATCTGACATTGGCCAAAGTCCAGTACAAATTGGTTTGTGATATGCATATTGTGATGCCTATGGATTGACCCTGTATGTCATTCAAATCTTCTTGAAATGACGACCAGGAATATATATGGTTGTTTAGGGTGGAGATCTCGACCGTTTACAAGTTCTCAAAAGAGGACTCCCCCTAAATTTCATATGATTTGTTTTTTTGTCCCATACAAGAATATATATGGTTTACGGGTGGGGATTGCGACCATTTACAAGTTCTTAAACAGGAGGGGGTGGGGTTGACCCCAGGGGACTCGCCTTTTATTTCATTTGATTTGTTTTATTGTCCCATACAAGAATATATATGGTTTCGGGGTGGGGATCTTGACCGTTTACAAGTTATCAAAAAGAGGGGGGTGGGGGTTACCCTCATGGACTTCCCCTTTATTTCATTTGATTTGTTTTATTTTCCCATACAAGAATATATATAGTTTAGGGGTGGGGATCTCGCCCGTTTACAAGTTCTTAAACAGGAGGGGGTGGGGTTGACCCCAGGGGACTCGCCTTTTATTTCATTTGATTTGTTTTATTGTCCCATGCAAGGATATATATGATTTAGGGGTGGGGATCTCGACCGTTTACAAGATAAAAGCACATTCTCAAATTGAAGGGGGGTGGGGGTAAGAATATACATGATTTAGGGAGACTTAATTATCTACAAAATGTCTAATAATGAACAGTAAATTTCTGACTTCATTTATACAGTTCTTCTAGTAAAATTCAAACTTTATATATACAGTCCTACAGATCTTATCAGGAAACAGAAAATTTTCAAATAAATCTGTCACTCCAATGATTATCATATGCTTAGATATTTCCCAGATCTAATTAATAATGAAAAAAATTCATTACTGTAAATTCAGAAATTATTGTGATGTTTTTATTATTGCGAAAAATGCGACAGGGTTATAATCGCAATAATTTAAACTCGCATTTTGAAATATTTTATATGAATTAAACAGGATTTTTCTCAATATCGCAAAAATTAGAATCGCATTTTTGTCTAATATGACATAATCGCAATAATAAATGTACGCAATATTTTCTGAATTTACAGTATCATATGCTAAAATATTTCTAATATCTAATTGAACAGAACTATGGTTTAACATAGTACTCTTAACATTACATATATAATAATTAATAATGTAATAATCTTCAAAATGTCTAATGATATAGCTTATAATCATTACCACTTAGGAAATAGATAATTTTCAAATAAATCTGTCACTCCAATTTTTATTGTGAGATAAGACAAATCATAACATGATGACAAGAGTAAAATATTTAAAAGTTCCACTTTTGGATATTAACAATCGCGATAACTCACAAAGGAGATATACTGAAATTTTAAAAATTGAACTAGACCTTCATTAAGTCCCAGGAAACAACATATTTAAATTTGAAAAAAATTTGTTAAAACATTTTCATGTTATTGTGCTGACACTGTTTGGCAGCCGCATGTCAGCCCGCCCTGCCGCCCGCCGTACATCCCCATTTTAATAACCGATATTTCCTTAGAAAATCTGGTTAACTAGAATAATGCTCCTATCACACTATTGAATAATGCTCCTATCACACTATTGAATAATGCTCCTATCACACTATTGAATAATGCTCCTATCACACTTATGATAATGCTCCTTTGACACTATCGAATAATGCTCCCGGGGGCGGATCCAGGATTTTAGGTTAGGGGGGGTGCAAACTTAAATTTTGTCTGAGCGGAGTGAGGCGAAAATTTTTTTGAAGTAAAATTATCGAAATATTCTTTATTAAGCTGAGGACAACCCATGCTTTGCAAATTTTAGGGGGTGCATGACCGCCACGCCCCCACCTGAATCTGCCCCTGGCTCCTATTACTCTATCAAAGCATGTTCATATTACACTATCAAATCATGATCCTATCACCCTATTTTTTACTTTCTCTAAATACATATTTATCTAACTAACTAACTAATTAACTAACCTGCCACACAACCATGTGACTGTTGGACATGATGAAACCATAATGACGGCAGATATAACATTTCTCCTTCATTAACAGTAACTTCTATTGGACTGGCTTTTTGATATTCTGGATATAAGGCTAGATCTGGGTTTAATGGGTCAATGGCTACCCAAGGAACCTGAAATATTTTTTTGGAATATGTATAATTCTCACAGGGTCTAAAATGAAATAACAAATAAAAATGTGGCTCAAACCTATAGGAGCATAAATCATTCAGAATAAAGAACATTAAAAAAAGTATAGCTTTCAAAAGATATATGCAATTTACAACAATAAGAAAATATAAAAAAATGTTAACTTAAGAAACAACAAGAAAAGAAAGGCTGCAGACAGGGTTTCCGCTGGCAGTTGCCATTATTGAATATTGAGGAAAAAATAAAATTGTGGCAAAAAAAAATTGTTATTTAACAAAAACTTTGTGAAAGAATTTTAATGGTTCGACTTCATCTATCTTGTTTATTTTTTTTGACCTTTTTCCACAAATTTAAGAAAAATCTCTGATCTTAGATGTTATTGTGATTCTTAGCATTGTGTAGAAGTTTCATAAAATTTGCATGAGGCAAACTTAAGAAAGACTGTGGTAACGAATAAATTTGCATTTTTTAAATTATAAAGGGGCATAACTCTAGAATGGTAAGAGACTCACTGCCCAAATTCGAACTCAGTCAGCATGTTTTGGTTCTTAGCATTGTGTATGAGGCAAATTTAAGTTAGAGTGCAAAAACGAAAATGGGACAGACAGAAAGACGGAAGGACATACAGAAGGACAGATGAATGGAAAGACGGACCAGATGACAGACAGGAGGACGGATGGTCAAGGTAACAGATACTGCACCCTTTGCCTACAGCAGGGGAGGGGAATAAAAATGTAAGTCATAGTGATTGAAATCACTGGTAAGAAGCTTGGAAGATGGATGGATAGCTGTTTAACATCCAGAGGCAAATTAAATGCATATTCAGGACAAAAACATGTTAGTATAATATGAATATGAACCTTGCTTTGTACCAGACTGACACAGATTTTTAACATGCTAGTTCACAAAATAACATATTTGCATGCGGACATGTTGCTCTACCCAGACACATTATTCTGCCTCCCATCCTACCAGTCATTGCTCTTTAATGCTGAATGCTTAGTAGAGAAGCAGCAAATACCAATTTAACAGTCTAAAGGTTTGACCCAGCTAGGGTTCGAACCCACAACCTTCCGCACTCCAGCGAAGTTCACTCCAGGCAAACATGCTACCACATGACCATGAGGCATTGAAAGCTTAGAAGAGATGGGTGCATAATTTCAAATGCTATTTAAGTCTTCCAGAGAAGTATGCTGGTGGAATAAAAAATCAAGTTACAGAACTATTGAATAGAAATGTCATGATAGTTGCATTACTGCAGTTCTTTATAGAGTTAGACAATTTGTCAGTAGATAAATTCAGCTTAAAGTAAGTCAATATAAATACATGTAGATCACAATTTCTCTTGTTATCAAGGTTAAAAAAAAACAGAACACAATTTGATGAGGTCTTTGGTACTGAGTGGTATTTTTTGTGATTCCTTTTATCCCTCTTTATGTAATATACAAATGAATATATTTTTTGGGGAAAATATTATACTGAATTGATATTGGTGGTACCTTGTCACTGGAATCAGTTGGCTTTATAGTAAATGAACCATCATCATTCTGTACATACACTGCAGGATCATACAATTCTGAAAAGTTATAACACCATTCATATATTATAGGCTTAATAATTATATGATTTTACAAGAATATTTGTTTTGGTGTCACAATCTTAAACAATATAGACACTATAAAAGTGAGTATTATCATTCTATGTTTAATCTTAAAAATTACTGTTTTATTTGAGAATTAAATAAAGTTTATCACTGTTTTTTTTTTTTTCTTTTTATATAAACTGGTGTGAATTAGATTGATTGATCATTGTTTGCTTTACGTTCAGTGGCAAATATTTGTATGCATGTTCAGGACAAACGTGTGGATAAGACTGCTGTAGTGTTTTTATCTACTGTCAAATTCAAATTCAAAAATTTCTGATAGCATTTTAATTTAGACTGTTGAACAATGGTAAAAAATGCGAAATTAATTATAATGATTATAAAAAATGTGGCATACAAATGTGATCTCAGGTGCTCCAGAAGGGTAAGCAGAAAATGTGACATACAAATGTGATCTCAGGTGCTCCAGAAGGGTAAGCAGAAAATGTGGCATACAAATGTGATCTCAGGTGCTCCGGAAGGGTAAGCAGAAAATGTGACATACAAATGTGATCTCAGGTGCTCCAGAAGGGTAAGCAGAAAATGTGGCATACAAATGTGATCTCAGGTGCTCCAGAAGGGTAAGCAGAAAATGTGGCATACAAATGTGACCTCAGGTGCTCCGGAAGGGTAAGCAGAAAATGTGGCATACAAATAATGTTATCAAAATTTAATAATATATATATAAAATGTTTCTTTTTTTTTTTTTTGCAAACCTATACCTATCAAATTGCAATTTTTACAGTGATAAATCAAATTGCAATTTTTACAGTAATAAAACAAAGTAAAAATTTATGAATTGACAGTACACTTCGAAAATTTAATACCAAAGATTCAATCAGTGACATTTACCATTTATTCAACTCCTTTTTATTGTCGAGCCTGCGAAATTTATTTCGCGAAAGCGAGATATAGCGATCCTAGATTCCGTCAAAGAATCAAACCTTTGAAAATATATTTTTATCATTTTAGGATTTTTCTGATAGATGGACTTAATTCTTTACAGTAAACATTTATAGACAGTCTGGGATTAAATTTTTTTTTCATGATAAATTTGTAAACATTCATGGATTGTAATGAAACTTGGACGGAAGCTAATCTTTAAAACCAGGAAATAGCAACTAAAGAAAAAGTTTAATTTTTTTTTAATTCTGTATTTTATAGATTAATTGACGCACTTTTTCAGTCAACATTACACTTTTACACTGACAACAGCAATCGCAGGCAAGACACAGAGTTCCGTGGGACCCCTTACAAATTTTTAGTTCAAAAATCTGTTTTAAAGTATTCTATAAATGTTTCAGTAATGGTCTAAAGATACAAATATAACGTAACTATTTAGAGCAATAAGAGGTATCCATAGAAGAAAAACAACTTATCCTTAGTTATGTATCAGAATTACACATACTTTAATTGTAACAGGCACCTCTACATGGTTCACATTAGAATTATTTCCCTTTTATCAGAAAAAAAAATCACTGAAAATAACTCTCATGTAAAAGATGTTTCATGGCCCATTACAATTAAGCTGTGCATATGTCTGATAATCCCAATAACTTAGTTAAGTATATGTCATCAGGCTAATTTGGACTTATATTTTATTTTATCATTTTATTTAGAAATTGGACTTTTAGAAAAGATAGTTTTACAAATTTAGATATTCACATGTCAAAACAAATTATGTGTTATTATCTTAATTAGTGACAATTGATGATAAATATTTATGACGGATTTATTTATTTGTGAGGTTATTGAAATTAATATGAAAGACTTTTATCCTTAATTCATACTAAAGGTGTGAAAAATATTGTAAAGGGAAAATGAAAGAATGAAATTATACGAATAAATATATTTATCTTTTATATTAATTAATGTGAAAGCTGTCACTTATGGCTAAAGGTTACGAAAAGTCATTTTAATTAGAATATTGTTATGTTAAATTGAGTTTTGTCTACTTCCTATATTCAGTATAAATATTGGTTGTAAATCATGTGAAATCAGTGAGAACATCCAGTAGATACATTAGGAGTCATAGTGTTATACTGACACTGTCCTTTGTATGTTATAATACTACTTTGGCTTGGAATTAAATGATAAAACTTGATTGTGTTGAATCTTTGTGAACTGCAACAACTAGTTCCTGTCATTGATGACCTTAAGACTTAAATGTTTTTCTAATGATTTTACAAATAAAATCTTGACCCGTTACAGTAGGGAGCCCACACAAGTACCAACAGCCCCTTTGTTACATATAGTTTATCAATTTTTTGAGCTCGTGCGGGTGCACTCAACTCCAATCTTACTTGACTAGGATTGTCAGTTATCCTATCGAAGGTCGGTGGTTTTCTCCGGGCACTCCGGCTTCCTCCACCAATAAAAACTGTCCACCACGAAATAGCCCAAGAGCGGTGCTTAAAAGTGGCGTTAAAACACCAAAAATTTGTAAGGGTTCCACGGAACCCAGTGTCTCGCCTACTTTTTCTGTTAATCGCAGGCTCAACAAAAATGAGGAAGTAAATCAATAAAGATATTCCTCTAAATACTATCTTTTGATTGTAAGAAGCTTCTGTCCAAGTTTGGTAAAAATCAGGATAGTTTATGAATCTAATAAATGTTTAAAAACTTTAACTGCAGACTGAATGTAATGTTAACTGGAAGAAAACAAAATTTCCTTCTAGATACTAGCATTTGATCATAAACAAGCTTCTGTTAAAGTTTGGTACAAATCCAAAATAGTATAAGAAAGTTATTAAAATTTTAAAAACTTTAACCACAGAGTGAATGTGTTGTTTCCTGACAGAAAATCTAAGTCCATTTAAAAGTAAAATACGGAAAAATGGATTTATTATTTTACAAAATTTCCTTCTAGATACTAGCTTTTGATCATAAACAAGCTTCTGTCCAAGTTTGGTACAAATCCAAAATAGTATAAGAAAGTTATTAAAATTTTAAAAACTTTAACCACAGAGTGAATGTGTTGTTTCCTGGCAGAAAATCTAAGTCCATTTAAAAGTAAAATACGCAAAAAATGGATTTATTATTTTACAAAATTTCCTTCTAGATACTATCTTATGATCATAAACAAGCTTCTGTCCAAGTTTGGTAGAAACCCAGGATAGTTTAAGAAAGTTATTAAAATTTTAAAAACTTTAACCACAGAGTGATTGTAATATTTCCCGGCAGAAAAACTAAGTCCATTTATAAGTAAAATACGGAAAAAATGGAATTTTATTTTTACAAAATTTACTTCTGGATACTATCTTATGATCATAAACAAGCTTCTGTCTAAGTTTGGTAGAAATCCAGGATAGTTTAAGAAAGTTATTAAAATTTCAAAAACTTTAACCACAGAGTGAATATTTGTGGACGCCGCCGACGACAACGACGACGACGACGATGCCGACGGAATGTAGGATCGCTATGTCTCGCTTTTTCGACTAAAGTCAAAGGCTCGACAAAAATCAAAAAATCAAATCAATTTTTTGACACCTCTATTTAAAATATAACTATGAATTATAATAGCAATGAATATGAATAAAAGGATATAACAATGGACAGCAATCCAAGGATACAAAATAACATCTGGAGGTCAAACAGTATTTAATTATAAACAAGTGCATATACCATATGTCAAGCTTTATGTCAAAACTCTTAGACTCATACTGATGTAAACAATGTCAAAACTCTTAGACTCATACTGATGTAAACAAAACCTTACCATAAGGAACAAATGATAAATCACTTGGTGGTATCAAGATAAACTTCTTCCATCCTTTTACAACACAGTAAAGATTTTCATAATGGTCTTTGTGCACTGTTGTAAAAAATGTATCAAAATAAATTAGAGCATATTTTATTATTTTTTAAAAAAATTTGTCTTTCTTCGACAAAGAAGAAAAAGTGGTACTTAGGCTGCTGTTTTGGCAGCATCGTCAACATTATATTAGTTTGTTATTAGGTCAGTTTATGGGGAATCACTAGTGATAGGTCAAAGATATCTGGTATGCAGTTGTATTAGCATTTGAACATCTCATTTCAATGGAGATTATTTGGCCCAGCCCCCAGTCATGGTTTATTGACTTTGAAACTTTTGCTTAGTTTACATATATTAGTTTGTGATTATATCAGCTTAAGATGAACCACTAATGTTAAGTCAATGATATTTGGCATGAAGTTGTATAAGTTTTGCAAGTCTCACAAAACATGTTTAACCCTGCCACATTTTCGCGCCTGTCCCAAGTCAGGAGCCTCTGGCCTTTGTTAGTCTTGTATGTTTTTTTTTAATTTTAGTTCATTTGTTTTGTGTGGCGTCCATTTTCAATGAACTAGTACACCTTTTTGTTTAGGGGCCAGCTGAAGCCCGCCTCCAGGTGCTGCATTTTCTCGCTGTGTTGAAGACCTATTGGTGGCCTTAGGCTGTTTTCTGCTCTTTGGTCTGGTTGTTGTCTCTTTGACACATTCCCCATTTCCATTCTCAGTTTTATCTCATTTCCATGGGGATTATTTTGCTCCACCCCCTCAGTAATGATCAGTTGACTTTTAATGTTTTGCATAGTTTACATGTTAAAGTTTGTAATTAGATAAGTTTAAGTTTAAGATGAACCACTAATGTTAAGGGCATATATATATATATATACGATACAGTTTCGATCCCATGGTGATTTTTTTACGAAAATTTGCATACAAGCTATTTTTCACCTGGTCAATTCAAACATGTAATAAAAAATATACCTTTATGTGCTAAATTTAGAGATAAATGGGGTCGAAATTTTAGACATTTACCTAAAATTTCGGTTTCTTGGACATTTCTATCCTTTGGATAGACATATTAAACTTTTTTGTTTCAAAAGATAAACACATGCGGATTTTTTTAAAATGATTTTGAATATCTTCTTTACAAATGTATCATCTTAATTTGTGTATCAATTCTTTGGAAATAATTCATTTTTCTTAAATTTTCAAGATTTTAGAAAAAAACGGCATTTTGTGCTTTATATTTAACTAATTTTTAAAAAATTCATTGGTGATTTCTTCATTAAAATTGGAATAAATAATCTTCATACAGTATCAAGTGAAATGTCATTTTAAAAAAGAGGGGTCCATGGACTCGTTTTCAAACTAATGATTAAAATCATTCGAAAAATGCATCTTTTCCTGATAAATGGCAGTTTAACCTGTGAACATTCCCTCACCTTCAACTTTCATCATACATAAATCTAAATACCATTAAGGTACATTACATTTTGTCTTATATAAATGTCATCAATTTTGTGTTATACCGGTACATGAAAATCTATTCAAATATGTTCTAACGCCTTTGCCAAAAAACAAAAACCACTTATACTCACTGGAAGTAATAGCTCTGCTGTCCCCCATCCAAAAGTTTACAGCATCTGGTTCCTTTCCTAACAAAGTAAAATTATATAACAGTGAGATAAATATTTGAAATTCTCATGCAATCTTCTATTTTAAGCCAGATTCAATTTTTAACAAAAGTACAAAAACCGAAATTATGCAATCTCATTTATCAAGACTTTTACTATCAAATGGTTTTATTCTTTCCCCATAAACAATGTACATGTATTGAACATTTGTGCATCTTTTCAGCAATTTTGCATCATTACAACGGAATATACACTCAAGTAAATATAAAGTAACAGAAAATTTGATACTAGAATTGTACTTTAAGTCCTGGTACCATCGTTAAACAATTTTGACATGACATAAAGACCTATAATACCATTATATACCATATCATACCTATAATGCCACTTATTCAATATCTCTGATATAAACTAATAGCCAATGAATTAAGAATTCAACAGGAGCCAATTGAGACAAGGCCCACCCAAGTCCTTAAAAGGCCATCAGATGTCAGAGCAATCTCAGACTACCTTAGGCATGAATCAAATGTAATATAAATAATGGAATTTCGAAATATAATAGAAGAGATCATTTTGAATGCATCAATTCAGAAATTCTGCACAAGTTAAGCTGAGTTGTCTCAGTGTACTCATGAATGATGTCTTGAAAATCCTCAACTAAAAAAAACTGGCTGCAAAGATGTACATTGTAGCTAAGATGGCTGAAAGTGGTGTTCAACTTCAACAGTCAATAAATCAATCAATCAATCTTGACAATCAATCAGAACGCTATTAATAGTAACAACTGTGTTCATTATTTTTACATTTACAGCACTTTACCAAATGCTTCAGTTCCCCACGAAATATCACTATCCACATCCTTTAATAAAGTAGCAAACTCGTCAGTAAGGTTAGAACTCTGTTTCTGTATGTAGTAAACATCTTTAAAATCATCAGGATTTTCTATGACCTTCAAAAAGTCTTTAACTTTCATCATCTTCTCATGTGGCATGACAAACTTGCCATCAGTTACAGCATCAGCATAGCCATTGGGTGTTACAGCAACTGTCACTTCCAAATCACCGATAATATTCCTGTGAAAATCATAAATAATGATATGCATGTGTAATAAGGCATTCTAAAACTATGTTGGTGACAGTTAAAATGCTTTTTATTAAGTGAAGGAAAATGACATTACTTTGACCTATAAATGGTTTACTTTACAAATTGTGACTTGCATGGAGAGTTGTCTCATTGGCACTCAAACCACATCTTCTTATATCTATATATAATTTTTTTGTGTTTATCAGTTATGGTGATCTAAAACATTACTCAACTTATAGATGGTTGTACACAAATGAAGAAGACCCCCCCACCATCACCTTTTCCAACTTGGGAAATTTAATCATGGTATCCCCTTTACAGTATGGGATTTTAATAAATTAAAAAAAAAAAAATAAAAACTGCTGAAAACATTTTTTATGCTCAAACTTAGAAAAAAAAATATATTTCCTTTTACAGAATGTTTATAAAATTACCTAAGATAGTCATGATTCCATCTTGATATAGCTGGCCAGTGGTCTACGGCACCTTGAATGAGGACTGGTTTGTTTGGCGAGACATATTCCCGATAAAATACAAGTGGTGTTGGTGGTTTGTCGAGTACTCGTACAGCCTTGTCTAGATATAATTCTGAAAAAAATAGAGAACTATGAAACTTTTTTACACTACTAGTATACATCTAACTGGCTGCTGAAGTACTTTTTTTCAGTTTTTTTTTTCCTTTTTTGTATTAATTTTCACTAACTTTCAAAAAAATGTGCTTTAATGATGACATGAACAAATGATGAACAGTATTAATATTCAATCATATTTTCTTTTATTTCTAACAACAGGTCTGACACTACCAACTGACTACTGCAGGTATTTAAAAATTTTTATAACTAGACATATATCTTTAAAAGCTGATGCTTCTTATCGTGTTTAAAGCCATTTAAGAGGGTCATAAAAGGGGGTATGTGCACGGAGAAACAGTTTCTCCCAATTTGCACAAAACACAGTGACCTGCAAGCACAAAAACAAGTGAAATAAAAATTGCAAACATGTTGCACAATAATAACCCTTTAAACTAGTCTTAATCACTCTCTTTTAATTCAGCTACTTCATTTAAAATTGAGAATGGAAATGGGGAATATGTCAAAGAGACAACAACCCGACCAAAGAGCAGACAACAGCCGAAGGCCACCAATTGGTCTTCAATGCAGCGAGAAAATCCCGCACCCTTATGTGGTCCTCAGCTGGCCCCTAAATAAAATTGTGTACTAGTTCAGTGAAAATGGACGTCACACTAAACTCCAAAACATATAAATGAACTAAAATTAAAAAACATACAAGACTAACAAAGGCCAGAGGCTCCTGACTTGGGATAGGCGCAAAAATGCGGCTGGGTTAAACATGTTTTGTGAGATCTCAACCCTCCCCCTATACCTCTAGCCAATGTAGAATAAAGAAACACATAGCAATACATACAGTAAAACTCGGTTTAAAAGAAGTCCGAGTCCGATGTCAGAATAGGTAACAAAAGAAAATAAGCAATTATATATATATATAATAATAATATGAAGTAAATCCGATATAAATTTTTCTACAAGTACATTAACATTTGTTAAATTGGCAATAACTTTGATATGACCTCTAAATGAAAATATAACCATATTAACTGTTTGCTGCAGATTCTAAAAATTTTGATAATGTTAAATTTTATGTTTTGTTCAAATTATTAATCTGTACAACTTAGAATGGTTTTAAAGAGGGACTGACTGACAGACATACAAAATTTTATCTATGATTGCAATTCAATAATGTAACAAAAAAAAAAGCACGGAACATACGGTAGGTCAGAGTGACCCGTTTTAGCCTAGATTGTTACCTACTTCACAAGATAAATCTCTACACATATCTTGCTGATATGAAATTGGACATATAACTTGTGCAAGATCAATGAAGTGTGAAATATAGGTCACAGTGATCTTTGCTTGGGTGCTGACCCTGCTTAATAAAGAGCATATTTACTGATTATTAGATTGTCCTTTTAGTTATAACTCAGGCATAAAACTTAACCAGGGTAACATGACATTCCACTCGAGACATTAACTTGCCTCTTTTTATAGATGTATCCCAACTTGTATACAAAGATACAATATAAACATTATTTATAACATACTTGTTACCAATATCTGGCTGTTAACACAGATGTGGCAGGGCTCATACTACTTCAGATTCATAAGGATAGTTCAAGTGACTTCTCTACTAATAGGGAGAAGTGGTGAGACTTAAAAGAGAAGAGCATGAGTGCTACAATCTTTGTTTTTTATTCAATAATATAAAGGGTCATAAAAAGACATATATATTATTTTTAACAATTTTAACAAACATTTTAACAACAAAAACATTGTATTTTTATTTTATTTTATTTCATTTTAATAGTTCACTTCCATATATACTTACTTTCACTTTCTCTTTCAATTGCTATTTATAACGTTACTCACCATAGCAACATTGTGACGTTTTAATTTTTTCAACCCGATTTTGTACCTCAGCATGATTTTATATATTGTTTTCTATCCTGATGACGGTGGCCTAGCCACCGAAACATGTCGATCTCAATAAATTGCTGGAGCATTCCTTAAAGTGTTGTTGTTACTGGACCTTCTACATTTTTTTATTTTTAAGGTAATTATTTTCTATATTGCTTAATTTATACCTGAGAATGAAATTAAAATAAAGGATGTTTCAGTAAATGCCTTAAACATGTTAAATAATCATTATTACTTACACAATTATATTTTTTGCTCTTGTCAATTCATAAGCTTGAAATATTTCCCACTGGAAGATCGTTACAGCATCCTATATTTTATCATACATTTTCCCTTACAATAAGATATTCATCTTTTGAAAAGTTTTGCATATATCATTTGCTTTAATAAATAAACCGTGTTATTTTCAAACAATAATTTTACGTTGGAAAAAATATCAACTGTCTTAATTTATGGGATGGGTATTCCAAATAATTATGGCGTCTTGAAAGGCTATTTTAATTTTTTGCATTGACGCCTTCCAAAAATGAAAATAGCCTTTCATTTTGTCATAACTATTTGAAATAGCTCTCAATCCCCCTCCCTGAAAGATAAAAACCAAGATAAAATTATATGAATAGACAAGAATGCTGAATTGGTGGTGCCTTAATGTTCCAAGAGGGTGGTAAAGGGTTATTTTCGTGCAACATTTTGGACCTTTTTATTTCATATGTTTTCGTGTTTTGACGTTTTATTTCTCAGTTTTCTAGTGTTTGGTTCGATGTGCGTGCATTGTGTTTCCCCTTATTTATTTTTTAAATAGTGTTTTGTGTCGGTACTCTTAATTTCATGAATTTCTCGTGCTTGTCCCGCATTTGATTAAATAGTAAACCGGGACTAATTCAAAGTCAGCCGGGATATTGTTTTAAATTATGTATTAATGTATTAATAAAGTGGTTTCCAGGATATTAATTGCTCTCTTCATTAATAGTCTATAGGCATGTCAGTTAACTGCTAGTAGTCTGTTGTTATTTATGTATTATTGTCATTTTGTTTATTTTCTTTGGTTACATCTTCTGACATCAGACTCGGACTTCTCTTGAACTGAATTTTAATGTGCGTATTGTTATGCGATTACTTTTCTACATTGGCTAGAGTAATAGGGGGAGGGTTGAGATCTCATAAACATGTTTAACCCCGCCGCATTTTTGCGCCTGTCCCAAGTCAGGAGCGTCTAGCCTTTGTTAGTCTTGTATTATTTCTAATTTTAGTTTCTTGTGTACAATTTGGAGTTTAGTATGGCGTTCATTATCACTGAACTAGTATATATATTTGGGGCCAGCTGAAGGACGCCTCCGGGTGCGGGAATTTTTCGCTGCATTGAAGACCGGTTGGTGACCTTCTGCTGTTGTCTGTTCTATGGTCGGGTTGTTGTCTCTTTGACACATTCCCCATTTCCATTCTCAATTTTTCAAGTACTTAAATAACTAGCGGACGCTAAATATTTACAATTTTATTTCTCATGATTCTTTTTTTAGGATTTTTATTTTCGGTGCAACGTTTTTGCGATTTTTATTTCATGTGTTTCCTTGTTCAGACCCCCCTCTACCACCCTCTTCCTGTCTTGATTTAACAAAGAACATTTTTTTATCATACATCCACAAGCATCTGGATGCTGGGTCCTTTATTCCTTTCAACTAGGTAAGGCATGTTTTTGTTCTCTGGAACCCTATGGAGGATAATGAACTTCCAAAGTTTTGTTGTCTTTTTTTTAAATTGGTAACACAACTTGATGGAATGCTAGACATTTTTGTTAATTCAAAAAAAAAAATCTGGGAAATTACAATTTGAACATTGCATATCTTCAATACTCCCTTCTAAAAACAAATATATTTATTTCTTCAAAAAAATTAAGAATCAAACAATGTATTTCAAAACAATGTGCTCCCCCAAAAAAGATTAATAGTCGGTGCCTTACTCGGGACCACATTCCAACTTTATAAATTATATTTATAACAGATCGGGCGTAGATATTTTGAGTGCTCGTTCTGAACTTACATTTTGATTGTACATTTGTCTTACCTCTTGCTTCGAGTGCTAATTGTTCTAGTTGCTTTCCAAGTTGGTTTATTTTCTTGTTTGTTGTCATGAAATAAGATATTTTTGAAGTTAATAAAGATAGTAAAGAGAGACAACTCGACCTCGCTGATCGATGAGGTTAAATTTAATATGAACAACCCGAACAGAAAGGTGTACAATAAGGAATTTTCTGAAAAAATAATGTCAATGATAAAATGTGTCATATCAGAGACATATAATATAAGTATTAAATGTCTCTGGTCATATGAAGCAGAAAATACAGACTTTACACCAAATTGTATGCTTTGTCCATGGCTCTGCCATTTTTTTAATATTTGAAGCAATTCACTACTTTAGACTGCGGGACATAATGTTTTTATCCAACTCAATGATAGGTTTGAACGTTGTTTTCAATTTAGACTTGTTTACATTTTTATTATTATATATATGTCCTGGCCTAAAAGGCCAAGTGAGTTTTTCTCATCACCTGGCGTCTGCGGCGTCCGTCGTCCGTCGTCGTTAACTTTTACAAAAATCTTCTCCTCTGAAACTACTGGGCTAAATTTATCCAAACTTAGCCACAATCATCATTATGGTATCTAGTTTTAAAAATGAGTCCGATGACACCGCCTGCCAACCAATATGGCTGACATGGCTAAAAATAGAAGAAGCGAAATAGAACATAGGGGTAAAATGCAAGTTTGGTCTGTGATCTTGAAAACCGCTATGAATGGAGATAATCTGTCGGAAGCAAAAATGTTCAGAATGATGAGATCTATACATTGTTTATTGGCTTCAAAACTCTCAGACGACTTCTTATAGGAGTTATTGCCCTAAAATGACGAATTTTACCGATTTTTTTCATGTTTGCCTAATATCTGAAACCTATATAGTAGATAAAGAGAAACTTTATATACCAAAAATATCAACAAGACATGATATACTATAAGTCCACATGGTCGAAATCGTCAGACAACTCCTTATTGAAGTTATTGTCCTTTAATGACGATTTTTATCATGTTTTGTGTTTTTGCCTAATATCTAAAAAAAAACTATATAATTATAGATAGATAGAAACTTAGATAAGCCAAGTGATCAGCAAGACAAGATCTACAAATTAGTTTCAACCTTGAAATAGTCTGACGATCCTTATTGGAGTTATTGCCTTTTGATAATGATTTTTAACCATTCTTTTGCGTTTTGCCTAATAATTGAAAAAACTATAATAGATAGATAGAAACTAAAATAAGCAAAAATGATCAGCAAGACTTGATCTACAAATAAGTCAAAATCCTCAGTCGACTCCTTGTAGAAGATCTTGCTCTTTAATTACGATTTTCACCAATATTATACGTTTTGTCTACTATCTTGAAAACTATAAAAGGTAGATAGACACTTTTTATGGTGCATAGGGGGGAAGGTGAAATCAGCAGGTGATGTTATAAGTAGAGAAAAGGTCGATAGATACACTTTATATGGTTCCTAGGGGGAGGGGTCATATCAGCAGGTGATTTTATAAGAAAGGGTCGATAGAGACACTTTATATGGAGCCTAGGGGGGATCATAGCAGCAGGTGATGTTATAAGTAAAGAAATGATCGATAGGGACACTTTTTGTGCCTAGGGGTAGGGGTTATATCGGCAGGTGATGTTATCAGTAAAGAAAAGGTCGATAGAGAGACTAACTATGGTGCCTAGGGGGATTGCTCATATCAGCAGGTGATGTTAAAAGTAAAGAAAGGGTCGAAAAGACACTTTCTATGGCGCCTAGGGGGAGGGGTTATTTCGACAGCTGAATTTATAAGTAAAGAAAAGGTCGATAGAGACACTTTTTATGGTGCTTAGGGGAGGGGTCATATCAGCAAGTGATGTTATAAGTAAAAAAAAAAAAAGGTCGACGAAGACACTTATTTGGTGCCTAGGGGGAGGGGTCATATCAGCAGGTGATGTTATAAGAAAATAAGGGCAGATAGAGACACTTTCTACGTTGCCTATAGGGAGGAGCTATATCAGCAGAATATGTTATAAGTAAATAAAAGGCCGATAGAGACACTTTCTATTGTGCATATAGGGAAGGGTCATATCAGCAGGTGATGTTTTAAGTAAAGAAAGGGCCGATAGAGACATTTTCTATGGTTCACCTTTACAAAAATTTACCGAAAGAATTGAGTATAATTATACAATATTTTCAACATGCAAAGAATTTTTAATCAGATTTACACCATGATGTCATCTTTAATCATACTTTATCCTAGAACAAGATCCCTTCATAATAATTCAAATATAATATTTGCGTTAACCCAAAATGTGACTCACGAACAGAAATATGTTCACTTTTGGTCTTCTTTCAACTGTCAGTAAAGTCCTTGTGAAAGTGGGGCGTCTGTTTGGTCGTATTGGATGAATAAATACGCAGCCACGTCCGGTCAGAAAGGAGACGTTAATCCGATGTATCGTGTAGAGATAGAGTGTCAGGCTCTCTGTACGTTAACAACCCTTAATAGAACTCTTTGAAGGGTCCGTAAGGGGACTGTTGCAAGGCTAAATTTCAGTTTCTCTATTCAATAAACCGCCTCGGTGGTCTCCTGGTAGCGTGTTCGCCTCGAACTCCCCGTGGGTTCGAACCCCGGCCGGGTCAAACCAAAGACTTAATGAATGGCATTTGCTGCTTCTCCACTAAGCACGCTGCATTAAGGAGTAAGTGCCAATGGCGGATCCATAACTTTTGTTAAGGGGGGCCAACTGACTGCCATAAGAGGGAGCCCGCTACAGTCATGCTTCAGTGATTTCCTATATAATCAACCAAATTTTTCCAACAAAAGGGGGGGCGCCCCCCCCCCCCCCCCCCTCAGCCCCCCTGGATCTGCCTATGAGAGCAAAGGACTGGTCAGCTCGGAGTCAGAATAATGTGTCCGGGTAAGGCGATATGTCTTCCTGCGGACACCTTGTGATTTGATTTGATTTTTGGTGTTTTAACGCCACTTTTAAGCACCGCTTTTGGGCTTTTTCGAGGCGACCAGTTCTTATTGGTGGAGGAAGCCGGAGTGCCCGGAGAAAGCCACCGACCTTTGATAGGAAAACTGACAATCCTAGTCAATTAAGATTGGAGTCGAGTGCACCCGCACGAGCGGGATTCGAACTCACAACCTCAGTGTTCCTCTATCAAAATATATGCAATGAAAATAAGTAATAATTGTATCTATTTATACCAATAGTAAAATACTTTATCTCCATGATCACCATAAACGTGGTTACTTAAGTGTAAATATTGCCAAAACAAAAATTATGGTATTTAGAAACGGAGGTTTTGTGAAAGACGAAGAAATCTGGTATTATGATGGCAGTGCTATTGACATAGTGGATGAATTTTGTTACCTTGGTGTACTGTTAAATTTTAACGGTAAATTTGCTAAAGCTCAAAAACATTTAGCTGAGCAAAGTAGAAAAGCTGTATTTGGTTTAAAGTCGAAGGTTTCGTCATTGTATTTGAATGTTTTTTACATATTTGAATTTGTTTGATACTTACATTAGTTTGATACTTACATAGCTGGCATGTCAGTTAACTGCTAGTAGTCTGTTGTTATTTATGTATTATTGTCATTTTGTTTATTTTCTTTGGTTACATCTTCTGACATCAGACTCGGACTTCTCTTGAACTGAATTTTAATGTGCGTATTGTTATGCGTTTACTTTTCTACATTGGCTAGAGGTATAGGGGGAGGGTTGAGATCTCATAAACATGTTTAACCCCGCCGCATTTTGCGCCTGTCCCAAGTCAGGAGCCTCTAGCCTTTGTTAGTCTTGTATTATTTTTAATTTTAGTTTCTTGTGTACAATTTGGAGATTAGTATGGCGTTCATTATCACTGAACTAGTATATATATTTGTTTAGGGGCCAGCTGAAGGACGCCTCCGGGTGCGGGAATTTCTCGCTGCATTGAAGACCTGTTGGTGGCCTTCTGCTGTTGTCTGTTCTATGGTCGGGTTGTTGTCTCTTTGACACATTCCCCATTTCCATTCTCAATTTTATTAGTAGTATTCTATGTTATGGTTGTGAAATATAGGGCTTCCATAAAGCTCCAAATATTGAAAAAATACAACTTGATTTTTGCAAAAATATATTAGGTGTCAAACAGTGTACAACAAATGTTATGGTTTATTTTGAATTGGGTAGATATCCTTTGATATATTTTAGAATGTACAAAATAGTGAAGTACTGGTTAAAATTATTATCCACAAGCAATTGTATTCTTAAAAACTGCCGAGTACAGGGAACAACTGTATAATTTCTGTAATATTAGAAGCAGTTGGATTTATCAACTACAACAATTATTATTTAACTTAGGTTTAAATGAGATTTGGTATAACCAAGACAATTTGATTATTGATACAAATTTATTATTATTTGTAAAAACAAGGATATATGATCAAGCAAAACAGACTTTGAATGATCAAATGAACATTTCATCTAAGTGTTATTTATATAAATATATTGTCAATAATGTATGTTTACAGAATTATCTAACTAAACATATGAATTTTAGAGTGTATTTAACTCGGCTTAGATTGTCTTCACATAATTTGTTTGGTGAAGTAGGCCGTTATCATGGAGTAAATAGGTTAGACAGAAAGTGTCCTCTTTGTACTTTGAATACCACTGAAGATGAATTCCATTTCGTTTTACAATGTGAATGCTATAGAGACTTAAGGAGACAGTTTATTAAACCTTATTGTTATAGACGTCCATCGTCGTTCAAATTCATGAGTTCAACTTCTCAGCACTGAAAATTTCAAAGATTTGCGTAATTTGTGTAAATTCTTATTTAATGCACTTAATCATAGGACCGAACTGTTAGTTGTCAATACTTGATATTTATTTGCTTCTCTGATGTATTATGTCACGTTGTGTTATAAAAATGTATTTGTATTTATTGCACTGATAAGCATAATGTGCTTAAAGTAATAAAGAATTGAAGTTACTGAAATCTATCGTTTTGCATTAATTATAAAATCATTGTGTAAATTATATTAGTTGTATGATTAACTTCTTTTAGTGGTCTTCAAACAATAATCTTTTAACAAAAAAAAATATAACAGTCTTATTTTTTTTTAAAGAAATATAAGTTAATTTCCTGCTATAACTTCAAATTATTTCATTTCACTTTTTTCAACTTTCACATAACATGATTAATACATCGATCATAGTTTATGTATTCTTATTGTGAACTATAAAAAAGACAAAACTTTTAACAGTGTATTCAAAATTTTATAAACCATTTAAATTAAACTTTCCTGCGACCTTACATAATTAATTTCTAGCTGTAATTTATCTTAATTTAATTAATAAAGCAACATGACATTTATTTTCAATTCAAAATCAGGGTTAATGTACAAAGGGAAGCAACTTTAGTTGTTCTACATAGGGGCAACATTGGTAGATTAATGGTGCAAAATCAGCAGGTGCCGTATCAGCAGATGGGTAATCTAGACCCGTCTCATTAAATCTTGACTCTGGTGATATACTGAAAAGGCATTCATTGAAGGATTCTGTGTTTTTTTTTCAATTTTCAGTGTTTAATTTTGTTTTAACTATTTAAACTATCTCCAAAAAAAATTTGGAACGTTTGTAAGGGGTGAAAAAAAATACAGTTAAATTTGTATTTAGAATGTCTAAGTATTCTTCTATTTCCTTCGTACCGTCGCCTCTGTAAGATCGTAATCGTTCAGTGTGGTCTTTTTTTTTTTAATTATATATTTTGCTTACATCAACTCTGAAAGGTTCATGTCCGATTGACGAAGGTCTGGAATCAGGATGGTGTTTACAGAATAGAGAATACTGGCAAAACTAAATAATGAATAGAGAAAAATGAGCAAAAAAAACCCTTAAAAATACAGAAAAATGGGATGCAAAAGTAAAATTAATTTTGTGGAAATAATTAGGTAATGAAGTACTGATTACAGAAATGAAAGATGTACAGAATCAAGAAATCATATAATTATAGAAAAGGTCTATTAAATTGTTAAAATCATTTTCATGAGATTATCATGATAATACAAAATAAGCGTTATTTTTAAAGATAAAGAAAATGCCCCACACATTTAAAAGAATACATAAATTAAGGACACCTATCCGACCGCATGTCCGTATTTGATTTTAGGACTTAGATTATTCCATTACCCGCTCCTTATCTCGTGTTTCAGTACACTCGTATTGTATCGGCTTAATTCTTTATGCTTAATTCTTTATGCTTAATTCTTAAATGTTTAATTATTTATGCTTAATTCAATTAAACTATTCTTCCTGCTTTTCTTGGTAATAAATTCGTGGTTTAATGCCTGCATAAATAAACGGATTAAGTGATTACCATGTAACCCAGTTAAGGGCCCCATTTCCTATATACATATAAATCTTGATCATGTTTCTTATATTCATATAAAACTTGATCATGGGACCGTGGCTTTTGACTTCCTCATACCTTAACTGACTTTAAGACATACTGAACGTTATAGGTAAGATTTTATACTTACAGTAAGTTATATAGTCTGCAAAAATTTACACATGAAACAACAACACAGATTCGCAGAAATTAAAAGTTTTTACGCAGCCTTATACCTGACGTAAACAAGTCTAATTTGTAATTCTAGTTTGTTTGTCACCAGATTGAATTTGATTATATAAGGTTCATTTAAGGAATTGAAAAAAATGGCCGTTACACCACAAAATCTACTCTGACTACAGACAAACCGATGCATCTAGGAAAGTTTTAAGGCCTGACTGGACCTAGATATATAAAAGTTATACATAGTTTATCGATGTTTCAGAAAATTAAAAACTTACCTGGATTTTGATGTGCATTTTTTTCGAGTCTGCGGAAAATAGCAAAATAAACTAACACCTGAGTTTCATTTGATACGGTCCACTCAGTTACACAGTTTAAATCACCTATTGTTCGGAGATGTATATTGTCCATTTAAATCAGTACAACTCACAACTGTATTATATGAGGGGAGCTTCTCAAACTTCTTTCCTAACTTAGTTTATTTTGGCACCTTCTGCAGGAACGAAAAAAAATAACAAAGTCTAGTTAAGTTTTTAATATTCTGAAACTTAAAATGCATTTAAAATTTATTTAACTAGGTCCAGCCATGCTCTAAACCTTTTCCAGGTGCACAGGTTTGTCTGTACTCAGAGTGACATTTGCGGTCGTGAAATACGGCCATATTTGCGAAAAGGTTATGATAATCCCGATTAAGATGTTTAATATTTGAAGGCATCATTCGATGTCTCCTTTTCTGTCATTCCCTCTCTCTTGGACATTATATTTTCATATTTTTTTAGTATTCGGAATAATAAGTTTATACATCATTTAAGGATGTACTTAGGTCAGGTTTAGGAATTTTTGTCAGATGTTCAGACTTCTTGGTTTTTTTCCTACGATACAGGGTAAAATATTTTGCCCCATAACACCGATTTTTCTTTTCATATAAGACTTCAGTAGCTCATAAAAAGGTCATTTACCAAAACTTAAGCAGATTCTAAATTTCTTTTCTTTCGATTTGAGACCCAAATAATACTAATGCAAATATAAGGTAAAAGTCCGAGTCGGCCTTTTCCTGCAATTTTTTTAAAATTAAATATCTCGAAAAGGAGCTCAATAATCTATCAATATTTTTAGCTTATTTTGTTCCTTAACTATTTCTCTTCTGACTTATAGTATCAATTTTAAATTCTAGATTTTTTTAATTTCACCTAAGTATTATCCTTAACCTACATAATCATTCCGTGTTGGCTTTGTGCAAGGAGCAATACTAAGAGAACTAATTGTCATTTATATTATTTGAAATACGGGATAATCTAAAGACTGGACCAGCTGCGTACTGTGACCAACCTTTTATAGTTCAGGAATGATATACATGCAGGGATACAAAACAACAACTTTCGATGATCCTGACTTGGAACAAGCACATCAGCGTGCATGTACTTTGCAAGGCCTTGATTTCAAAGACTTTCAACATAAAAATCACCCATAGTATGAAAAGCAGGCGAGAGATTTCAGTGTGTCAATTCTTGCTCAGAACACAATACTCAATCTGCTGCTATAGAAAACATATTTCTTACAATTTTATATCGACAACATATTAAATAAAGAGTCAAACATTTCTAGGTTTTGGTTAAACTTTTGTTAAAGTTTCACCAAGTAATGAGATTTATAAAAACAAATGTAAAATGTTTTAATAATTAGAAAATATTGCCTTCATTGAAACCTGAGAATTCACTGTAAAATTTAGTAAGGAAGGTTCAACGTGACAAGAAGTCTACGGGACTTCCCCACCAAGGAAAAGAAAATTAAGAATGGGAAAAGGAAATGTAGTCCCGTTCGTATTGAATCCTGAGTGGCATGAGGATCATCATGACGAATTTAAAAATCAATTTAATAAACGAAAAGATTTTTTAAAGAAGGATTTAGTTTGAGTAAGTTTAGGTGGATAAATTCAGAGAAAACTTTACTCTGCGTACTGTGACCAACCTTTTATAGTTCAGGAATGATATACATGCAGGGATACAAAACAACAACTTTCGATGATCCTGACTTGGGACAAGCACATCAGCGTGCATGTACTTTGCAAGGCCTTGATTTCAAAGACTTTCAACATAAAAATCGCCCATAGTATGAAAAGCAGGCGAGAGATTTCAGTGTGTCAATCCTTGCTCAGAACACAATACTCAATCTGCTGCTATAGAAAACATATTTCTTACAATTTTATATCGACAACTCAGTAATTCCTAGTACGTTTAGAACAGCCGCAACATGGACAAACAAATGATCTTGTGGAATGTCAAACGTGAATTTTTATTAACAAAATATTACAAAAAAAGAAGGTTTTACAATAACCGATATAAGTCTCATTTCAACTGTTACAATCGAATCGATATTAATATGTTTAATTAAAAGACAATGATTTCGCAAGAGCATAAAATCATAATCTTAACAATAAGTGAATTAAGCCAAAGAGAAAAAAAGAGAACCAAAGTACAAATTTTTGACACAAATTTCAAAAATTATACTGAGAAAAATTAGATTCAGAAATATCTTTTTTACAAAATCCTGCAAGTTGCATCAAACTTCAACAATACATTTCTAGGTTTTGGTTAAACTTTTGTTAAAGTTTCACCAAGTAATGAGATTTATAAAAACAAATGTAAAATGTTTTAATAATAAGAAAATATTGCCTTTATTGAAACCTGAGAATTCACTGTAAAATTAAGTAAGGAAGGTTCAACGTGACAAGAAGCCTACGGGACTTCCCCACCAAGGAAAAGAAAATTAAGAATGGGAAAAGGAAATGTAGTCCCGTTCGTATTGAATCCTGAGTGGCATGAGGATCATCATGACGAATTTAAAAATCAATTTAATAAACGAAAAGATTTTTTAAAGAAGGATTTAGTTTGAGTAAGTTTAGGTGGATAAATTCAGAGAAAACTTTACTCTGCGTACTGTGACAAATCTTTTATAGTTCAGGAATGGTATACATGCAGGGATACAAAACAACAACTTTCGATGATCCTGACTTGGGACAAGCATATCAGCGTGCATGTACTTTGCAAGGCCTTGATTTCAAACACTTTCAACATAAAAATCACCCATAGTATGAAAAGCAGGCGAGAGATTTCAGTGTGTCAATCTTTGCTCAGAACACAATACTCAATCTGCTGCTATAGAAAACATATTTCTTACAACTTTATATCGACAACTGAGTAATTCCTAGTACGTTTAGAACAGCCGCAACATGGACAAACAAATGATCTTGTGGAATGTCAAACGTGAATTTTTATTAACAAAATATTACAAAAAAGAAGGTTTTACAATAACCGATATAAGTCTCATTTCAACTGTTACAATCGAATCGATATTAATATGTTTAATTAAAAGACAATGATTTCACAAGAGCATAAAATCATAATCTTAACAATAAGTGAATTAAGCCAAAGAGAAAAAAAAGAGAACCAAAGTACAAATTTTTGACACAAATTTAAAAAATTATACTGAGAAAAATTAGATTCAGAAATATCTTTTTTACAAAATCCTGCAAGTTGCATCAAACTTCAACAATACATTTCTAGGTTTTGGTTAAACTTTTGTTAAAGTTTCACCAATTAATGAGATTTATAAAAACAAATGTAAAATGTTTTAATAATAAGAAAATATTGCCTTCATTGAAACCTGAGAATTCACTGTAAAATTAAGTAAGGAAGGTTCAACGTGACAAGAAGCCTACGGGACTTCCCACCAAGGAAAAGAAAATTAAGAATGGGAAAAGGAAATGTAGTCCCGTTCGTATTGAATCCTGAGTGGCATGAGGATCATCATGACGAATTTAAAAATCAATTTAATAAACGAAAAGATTTTTTAAAGAATGATTTAGTTTGAGTAAGTTTAGGTGGATAAATTCAGAGAAAACTTTACTATTTTATACACATAAGATGTTTATCTACTTTAGTAATTATCTGCAGTTATTGTTGAAATTATCTACAAGTGGTTTGTATAGATGGGTCCTTCTAGGGTACAGCATTTAACTTCAATTTAGAATAGTAAAAGACTGCCTTAAAACTTTAATTTACCTTGGATATTTTCACTGATCTTTATTTTTTTACTTAATTTCAGAATAAGTGGCACATGGCAACATCTGCAAGTACTCCCTGTGATGTCTGTGCTGGGCAGTCCATATCTAAAGAGGCTGTCAAATGGTGTTCTGAATGTGAAGAAGCCTATTGTTCGGAATGTATCAACCACCATAGAATTGCCAAGGCAACAAAAGATCATCAAGTCATAGCTGTAGAAAATTACTCGAAATTACCCTCTTTTGTATTAGAAACCAAGCATCACTGTGAAAAACATGGATCACGTTTCCAAAATTACTGTCGTAGTCACGAGAGTCCATGTTGCACACGATGCATTGACACAGATCATAAGAAATGCTCCGACTTACCACCGCTTGATGATGTCATTCAGAACGCAAAATCATCAGTCGCGTTCGCGGATATTGAGGAACGTCTTAAAAGTCTTAAGAAATTCTTTTCTGAAGTCATTACAGAAAGAGAAGAAAACTTAAATGAACTAAAAGATCAGCGTGAGACGATAGAAAAACAAGTAAGAAAAATAAGAATAGATATCAATCAGCATCTTGATAGGTTAGAGGAGCAAATAATGATCAAACTGTCCAGCCAAGAGAACCACCATCAAAAAGATGTCGAGAAATTATCAAAACAGTTGAAGGTACAGTCCTCTCGAATAGAAAGCCTACTTGAAAACCTGGAACCAATAAAGCAGTATGCTTCGAATTTGCAGACCTTCTTGAGCACGAAGGAAATGGACAGGGAACTGTATGAAACTGAGAAGGAAGTTGAAGTTTTATGCAAAGATGACAGTTTGAATAGATACGGTATCTCATTTATTAAGGACGACAAGCTGAGAAATTTCATGGAAAACTTACAGTCTTTTGGAGAAGTTTCAAGTTCGTATGAAAAGACGAAAATTCTTCATGAGAAAGTAGATCAAGCACAGATAGTTGCAGTACCAAGGAAACATGTTGAAAACATGAATCTTGTACTTGAAAAGAAGATAGTGGTTCCTAGACCAGGTAAAAGTAGTTTTGGTTCAGTTACGGGATGTTTAGTATTACAAAACAAACATTTTCTATTTTCATATTTTGATAGCTTGAATAGTAACAATTGTTGTTTAAGTTTGCTAGACGAACATGGCAATGAAATATTTGTTTTTAAACATGACAAAATTGGTGGAATTTATCCTTATGGTATTGCTGTTATCAATGATACAACAGTAGCTATAGCACCAGTGAATCGTTCAAAATCAATTATAATCTTCAACATTGAAACCAGAAAGGTATTCCAAGTGATAGAAACTAAACACCCATGCAGTGGTGGGATATCATGTTTCGAAAATACTCTGATATACAGTTGCGGGAAAGAAGGTTTGGAAATGAGATCACTGGATACAGGAAAAGTCCATACTTTGAAATTTGCTAAACTTGATCCATGGGAGCACACTTTATTCAAGAACAAAATCTATATTACAGATAATAGCAGTGATACAGTAATATGTTATGACATGGATGGAAAAGTCCATTGGAGATGGCAAAATGTTGACGAAATTAAGTATATTGGCGGAGTAGCCGTCGATAATAACTCAAATGTTTATATTGCGGGTGTAAAGTCAGGTCGCGTTGTGATTATTTCACCCGACGGCAAAACTTTAAAGTCTTTTATACCGGAAGGTATCAAATGGCCAAGAGCAATTTATTACGACAAAATGACGAATAAACTTTTGATTTGCGAAAATAATGGAGATGCGGGGATATATTCTGTCTCCTAAAATTACATTCGTGTTATCGCTTATTTTGTCAGAAAATTTTCATGTAATTATATTATAAATCAATTTTAATAAAGAGGTGTGTACTGCTTTGTACATCCAATTTTTTTTTTAGATATAAAATAGATACAACAAATATACCAACACAACTGTGTTCAATGCAAACCAAAATGTCGAAAAATGCATGCAACTCATCACATATATTTACGATAGTGTTAACTGCACAAAACACTGAAAATATGGACAATGCAAACTCCGCTTAAAAAATGTATTTTCTAAAGCATTTGGCTGCATGTATGCATAAAACATCCTAACTTTAATACAAGAATAAGGAGATGTAGGCGCTGTGATTGCCAACGAGAAGGAGATGTGGGCGCTATGATTGCCAACGAGACAGCTATCCACAATAGTCTTAATTACGTGGATGTAAACATATGTAGGTCAACGTACGGTCTTCAACAATGAGTAAACCCATATAAAAGGCCCTGAAATGAAAAAAATGTGGATTAATTCAAACGAGAAAACACACGGCCTGATTTATGACTTACAAAACAATCAACGAAAAACAAATGACTGACAAAAACCGACGACAAACACTTAATTACAGGCTCCTAAATTTGGGCACTTGAAAAATGTAGCGGGGTTAAACATGTTTGTGAGACCTCAACCCAATCCCATCTAACCTCGGACAGTGGCATAATAGTACAACATAAGAACGAACTGTAAAAATCGGTTGGAAATAGCCTTTATCATCAGATCGGCATGATGCACAAAAACATTAAACACAACTAACATAAAGGCAGAAGACACAATGTACCGAAGTAAGAGTTCACACAGTTACTAAAAGTCTATTCCATACCACTTTACAAAAAATCAATCATTACACAACTAACGGATTTAGTGTAAAGACGTCATAAACAGTATGAGAAAAGCATGACCTAACATTATTTAAATATTCACTAAACTAAACTTTCTTAAGCTATCCTGGATTTCTACCAAACTTGGACAGAAGCTTGTTTATGATCATAAGATAGTATCGAGAAGTAAATTTTGTAAAAAAAAATTCCATTTTTTCCGTATTTTACTTAAAAATGGACTTAGTTTTTCTGCCAGTTAACATTACATACATTCTGCAGTTTAAGTTTTTAAAACATTTATTAGATTCATAAATTATCCTGGATTTTTACCAAACTTGGACAGAAGCTACTTACAATCAAATCGTTTTTGTTGAGCCTGCGATTAACACCAAAAGTAGGCGAGACACTGGGTTCCGCGGAACCCTAACGAATTTTTTTAACAACATTTGAAAAGTCTGAACAACAAATTATTAAGAAATGTTCAGTCTTTTAGTCAATTTTCATTCCTGTTGACTTCGGCAAATTCACTACTGTTCACTACAATTTACTTGTAGTAAATTCCGTACTCTTTGGTTGCAGCGAATTCAGTACTGTTCCGGGACAATTTTCTTGCAGTCACTTCAGGACTTCAGTAGCGTTCAGACAATTCAGTATGTAAATGGTGTGTACAAATATATAACAACTGTTGGTCAGATCTAAATTGTCTGCAAGTAAATTGCCTTAACTGTACTGAATTTACCGCAGTGGATAAGTCTAAATAAACTCATAGATACCAAGATTAAAATTTTGTACGCCAGACGAGCGTTTCGTCTTCAAAAGACTCGTTAGTGACGCTCGAATCAAAAGAGTTAAAAAGGCCAAATAAAGTACGAAGTTGAATAGCATTGAGGACCAAAATTCCGGAGGGTTTTACCGAAAACAGAAAAAGTAATCTACTCCTGGGGTAAACAAAACTTAGTATTTAGAAAATTCTAAGTTTTTTTAACAGTTATATTTATGACCATATCAATGATATTTCATGTCAACACAAAGTTGACTAAAATACTGAAAATGATTTAAGGGATTAATTGTTCAGTCTTTTAAGAACTGTTTAGTTAAAAATTACCGTTTCAAATAAGAATTGTAAATTGTAAAAATGCGGTAAAGAGGACAGAATATTGGCTGCTGAAACTTGTCCTTTGTTTTCTATGACACAAATATTCCATAACTGTTAACTAATTTATGATGACTTGCTTAAAACTTTTAATCAATGAGCCTTTATTTATTTTCTAACTTGTAAGCAGCAATCGTCTTTCAATGAAATCATAATAGAAAATGCAAGTCCTGAAATATATTGTTTCAATAGGGACATTTTACCATACGGAGGTGCTGCTGAAATACAACTACATAGAAATGAAAGTAACATATTGTTCACCATGTGCATTACATTGCCGCGCGTACGCGTGACAGCAATATCTTTCTAAAACAAATCTCCATTCCATCATTCATACAAATTACAAAATTTATTAAACATTTATTTATATATTCCATAATAAATCCACTCCATTGCTCTAATTGGTGGTAAAAGTGTGCAACAAATGTGTCCGCCAGCATCGTTGTTTTCCGTTATATACGCATATGACGTCACATGAAGTACACGATTATGTCTAGTGGCTAAAATATTCTTTTCATTCGAACTAGATTCCGATGGTATAATAATATCTTCATGGAAAAGAATTCCTGGATTTCTTTTGTCGAATCTTTTTCTAATTTTCTCTGCTGATCTGTTATATGCTATCACGTAGGATGCCTGTTAAAAAAATACATGAAGCATGAATGTCATGAATGGAGGACAATAAACTGCAAAAGACGTTAACTTAAACTCTTCCTCTTTTTTAGGTTTACTTTGAATGTAATTTAATCAGATCGTCTTCAAAACTATTGTGTCCTACCTTTTACAAGTAAACAATCAAACTTTCGCGGTAGGGAAACCAACGTGATAAAACAAAACGGACGAAAATGACCACAGACAACTAAGACATGTAACATAACAACAACGGCCTTATTCGAGTTTGTATTAACATGGAAAATGAAATTGCATGATTGTATACAAATTTTTAATTTGCGTGTTTCAATGTATGAAAGTGATTTTCTTTTTAAAAGTCACCTGACTTTAACATTGTCTTTGGAATGCAGCTTATTTCTTTAGCTATGGAACATATTTGATTAAATCGAGATTTTTGCTCCTTTTAATCTAATTTTTTTAACTTAATTTTGGAAATTGTATGCTTGAATTCATGCCACACCGTTTAAGAGTGATTATTGTCATTTCCGTATATCTATTGTTAATTTATGTTGTTAGTGATTAACAGACTTCCATTGGTGGTGTAGTTCACTTGTACTGATATTATTTCAAGGTTCAGATTGGTATATTTGGTTTTTTTTCTCGTGGTTCCCCCCCCCTATAAATTCAGTAATGGATAAATGGAACTGCACATGTGGATATCAAAGTTGAAAACAAGATATCAATAATGAAAATGTAAAAGAGACACGGAATTGCACTTGAAAGTATTTTTCATAATTATTCCTCGTAGGAGGCATATAGTGTTTGGCGGGGATGGGGGAATTGGAGGAATGGCGTTTTTAGTAACTATTATTACATGCACGTATCTGTGTGCATTTTTTTAAAAAAGATGCAAGTTCTTTTTTTTTGGAACAAAGATATCTTAACATCATACTTACGTTATTCAAGTCCTTGCATGTACGTTCTGGAGAATTGTCGTTTTGCGTTATTCCTAGCTTTTTCAAAATTGCATCTCTTCGGAACATCCTTGCGTGTATCTGTAAAGGTATCTCATCAGAATCTATCTTTTCGACTGGCGTGTCCAGTTGTGAAAATAAGTATATGGTAACTTTTGAAACAGATTCGTTAAAAAGAGCCGGATTGAATGCTGACTGATATGTGAAATAACTCTCTATCTGAAATAAATTCGTAAAAATACTAATATTTATATAGGTTAAAAAACAACATTTTAACAGGATTATTGCATCCCTAGTAGAACCTTGTATATTCTACGAGAGGTTATATTTACCGTTATCCGTGCAATAACATAGTTTTTTTTGTATTGCAACACAATGGCAAGAACATATACCAAACGAAAATGTCTGCGTTTTGAAGCGATATTGCATTGCATGTTATACCGGCGAATATTGCACGCCAAGTTTTTGTAACATTCTATACGGGAAATCTGGGACTTTTATACTAACTGTCAATATATTATGTCCCACTCCCAGAGGGAATATAACATTGCTATGCAAACTTAAATTTTCATCCTTGACTATAGACTGTGAATATGAAGTGAATTTATATGCTGGTAAAAACAGTAGAATGTCCTTGTTATCTAACTTCAGTAATAGTTGAAAAATCTGAATATCATATGAAAAATACATCAATTACTTACATTAATTCGAGTTGAAAAATCTGAATATCATATGAAAAATACATTAATGACTTACATTAATTCGAGTTGAATCTGGACCAACAAGATCTGATCACCACATCTGCGACTGTTTAACCCACTGAGACTTGTATTCTTTTGGGTCTATGGTTATCTGATGGGCTTTCAGTAACGGCTGAAATATACCATTTGGAATTATTTTAGAATGCTGTTCTCTCTAATTCTGCAGTGTGCATTATAATCGGTTCTTAATTGTCTGCGTTTGATAAATTTTTACAAAAACAAAACGTCGAAAAAAGTTTGCCTCGTGTAAATTTCCGCGAATTCCACTAGGAACAATGTACTCGGCTTTTTCCATTGAATTAGTAGAGGAGATATCCAACCACTTAACCCCGTTGGAAATATTTATCCAAGCTCGATTGTTTAGATTTTAAAGTTTGAATACTCTGTATGCTTTTTTATGCGAATGTGGTTTTTTATCTATTTTTCCCCTCTTTAATTTTTAATGTTGTTTTTTTTTTTTTTAGTTTTTTTCAAATGGTCATATTGATTTGCGTGAAAGATTAAAAGGGACTTACATTGTTACACATCTTTTTATTTTGTTAAACACAGCCTTGTGATTTGATTTGATTTTTGGTGTTTTAACGCCACTTTTAAGCACCGCTTTTGGGCCATTTCGTGGCGGCCAGTTTTTATTGGTGTAGGAAGCCGGAGTGCCCGGAGAAAACCACCGACCTTCGATAGGAAAACTGACAATCCTAGTCAATTAAGATAGGAGTCGAGTGCACCCGCACGAGCGGGATTCGAACTCACAACCTCAGTGTTGACTGGCTAGTGATTACAGTAGTAACTACTTAGACCACTCGGCCACCGAGGCCCTTTCACAGCCTTGTGTATGCAGAAATTAAACGTTGCGTTCGTTTTTTCGTTTTTTGCCATGTCATGTAATTGTCAGTTTGTTTTCAACATATGAGTTTGAATATTCCTTTGGTATCTTTGCCTGAGTGCCCTCTCTTTTTTAACATACTTTTCATTGATAGCCTTTTCAATTTTGAGGATATTTTCAGTGAATTGTCATCGTCCATCCTCGAGCTCATCTTAATTAATCTGACAAAACAATTGAACTGAATTCGAATCACTGTGTTCAATACAATATCTCAAATTTCTAACTGTTTTGTTGAAATACTGAAAAATGTTCAATGTTTCATATCATTTTAAGCGGTTTTTCAGAGCGAGACGAAAAAGGGATGAAATCTGAAAACTATTGATAATCATGAGTATTTAAATCATACCTCCAAAATTTTGTTAGTTTCTACAAAGTAATCATTCAAAGAATCTAGAACAACTCTACCATTGTCCCCTCTACAGTAGAAAAGAAATGTAGAAATTGGTTGCAGAATGTATTGGAGAAGATTTTCATATTCCGTGTCTAAAGTAATGTCCTGTATAAGTAGATGGATAGGAAGTTGACCATTACTGAATATTCCATGATTAACACCATCTAACACTACCATTGGATAACGGTATTTTAGACTGGGATCAGCTTTTATTTGTTGCAGAAACTTTCTGTTCGAAAAATGAATAGATGAAATGATAATTACTATATTAAAGTAAATGGTACTGAGAATTCTTCCAAACATTCAAGTACTAACCAATTACAAAAAAAATGTATTCCTATTTTCCATTTTTTTTTTTTCTAAAAAAATCATTTTAATTTCCTTTTTAGCTCACATCAAATCTTGAGAAGTAAAAATGACCAACAGTTTAAGGTCTATCTCCTGCAGAATTTTCAGAAAAATCGGAAAACCCATTTTGGAGTAATTGCCCCTAAAATGTTTTTTTTTCAAATTTCGCAGTTTTTGGTTATTATCTTGAAAACTATTACAAATAGAGAGAAATTTTATTTAAACAGTAAAAATGACCAGAACAATAAGATCTAAAATAATTAAACTTGACAGAAATCATCTAACGATCAGTTAGGATTAGTTTTTAAATGATGAATTTTAACCTTTTTACGGTTTTTTATGACAGCTATAGTTGAAATAAAGAATCTTTCGATAGTAAAAACGTTCAACAAAATCAGATCTACGAATAAGTCAACATGGACAAATGGTCAATTGACCCTGTATTGGAGTGCTTGCCCTCAAAAGACTAATATTACTCATTTTTGCGTTTTTTGGAAGAAACTATAACAGATAGAGAGAAATTGTAAAGAGCAAAAGTGTTCAGCAAAATAAAATCTACAAATAAGTGAAATTGTCAATTGACTGCTTATAGGGATTATTGCCATTGAAAGATGGTTTTTATCAATTTTCTCTGTTTGCAGAAACCATTATACACATGTAGATAGATGGAAGTTGTTAATTACAATAATATGCATGGTCAAAATTGTCAACTGCCTCTTTCTATGAGTAATTACCTCTGTATTACCATTTTTAACCATTTTACGATTTTTGTGGAAACAAAGATAAATAGATAACAACATTGTATAGCAAAAATGTTCAGTAAAAAAAGATATTATACAAATAAAACAACATTGTTGAAATTGTCAATTGACCCCTGAAAGATGTTGGTTTTTTTCTTCATTTTTGCAGTTTTAGCACAAACTATAATAGATAGACAGAAACAGTAAAAATCTAAAGACAAAAATGTTCAGCACAATACGATCTACAAAATCAGTCATCATGGCCGAAATTGACAACCGGCTCGATATGGAAGTTGTTTCCCCTGAATGATGAAATTTTTACCCATTAACCTACAGGTAAGTAAACATGGTCAAATTGTCACAATAGTTGAACAGGATTTATTGCCATTAAATGACGTTTTTATTTCAAAAACTTTAATAATTATAAACTGTAAACAGTAAAGAGTCAAGAAGATCACCAATGCAAGACCTACATAAATGCCACCAAAAAAGATCTACATATAAGCAAAAATAACTGACTGCAATAAAGGAAAAAAATTAATATCAAAAAATACCAACTGAGCGATTCAGGCTAATGAGAGCCTCTTGTTTCTTTTTCTTTTTCTCATTTTTACTGATATACTGTTTGATCCCTTTTAAATGTTTGATTAAATATAGAAATTTTAGGAGTTTGGAACAAATTGTAGTTAAGAAAATCGCAAGCCCCCAAAAAAGTCAAAGGCGTTCCTTATAGCGCTGAGTGTCGCAGTGAAAAACGCTCTTTTATCTTCTGGAACTACAAGCAATTCATGCGTGGAATATGTGGAAACCAACGATTTATTATGAAAACCTAAATATATGGGAATATTTAATTTCTTATTAATGTATTTCTCTTCCGGTGGTACTCTATTTTATATCATAGATATAAAGGAAACTTATTTTGTACAT